GTTCCCGCCACACATGTGATAGTTCCACCAGAGGTACACTGAGTGATGGTGCAGTCACGGACATTGCTACACACTTCTCCCTGCACAGAGACCACTACAACACAAATATCACAATTGGGTTTTTCAGAGTAAAATTTGTAGGAAGACAAATCGTGTTTGTAGAGAGGTCGTCAGAGAGCAACCAACGAGAAATAATTAGTATGTCCAGAATGAATAGCTAACTGATTTAAAGCCTTCGCTGAAGAGGAGCAGATAATCTGCTTTTCCGAGTTTCAAGTAGTCTCTTACCTGTTGTTACCTATTAAAAAAACCAAACTATTAAGTTATACCTGTCCAAAATACCTGTTTACACTGTATTGTTTCACTGCGTATTATATGATGGTATCAGGGCAACTCTTCTGAATAAATGCTATTAAGTCTCTGAATCTTTTAGATAAACCTGACATCGACAAATTTCGTTTGATGTTCAATGATGCCAGTGTGTGTTTTATGTGATGTCAGTGTCTGACTGTCTGTCTGTCTGTCTCTCTGTCTGTCTGTCTGTCATCTTAAAAAGAAAGAAAGAGAAATGTCTCACCTTGGAAGACAGATAACTGACGTCACTTTGTGCTAACCAATCTGATCTGAGAATCGCTCCAATGCACTTTTGGCGTATCAGAAACCTGTTACACTTCTTGAAGCCAAATGCGTAAATTTGAGACGTATTATAATGGCAAGAAGTGAGACAGGTGATGTGGAGGGTTGGAGTAACAATATGTAATCTAAGGAGTTGCATACAGACTTCACAGTGTAGCAGTAGCAGGTAGTTATAACACTGGTCACGTGTGAACAAAGGACTTAAGGTCACGTGTTACTGTAAATCGTCCAGCCCCTGTGGGCCTTTAACTCACCAGTTTGATCTTCACAGAAACTTCTAGAAACACACAATATGGACTCCGTGTTCTCTGAAGGCAGTGACTAGATTAAGGTGTGACAGGTAGACCTGTGTTACAACCCTCAATGTGAAAATAACTCATGATGTAAAAAATCGTACATGAAGGGTTATGTGTTAACTCTTAATGTATTTTTTTTACAGTAAGAGAAACATCAAAATATACTTTTTTACATTTAGGGTAAATAAAGCAAAATATAGCCTCTTACTGTAAAAGATTCTTATGAACAAAGTTTGATTGGAAATATGTAAATAGGGTACTTTTGGCTATTTTCACATTTTTTATTGTTTCTGTCCGGTTTCTTATTATTATTCGTAAATAGAGAATACTACACTGATATGTATTGTATATGGGCCAGTGGCCTTAGTACAAATAAAAGACTTCTTCTTCTTCTTCTTCTTCTTATTCAGTCTTGTTAGGTACAATTTTTACGAAACGAGTGGACTTTCAGATGCTATAGAAAGTTCCTTTGTTGACATACATACCAAGCTGAAACCGGTTGCAAAATCTGGTTGCGCATGAATATTGATATATGCCCAAATATGGACATTGTTGACATTTCTATGCATACGCATTTACAGCATGCGCCTGCAGTTGTGTTTGCAAATATAACAGCACCAGCTTATGGTAATACAAGCGTCCGGTGTCCCGGCTGTGCAATCAAAATGGTCAGTTCCCTGATCTATCAGTTGAATTTATATCATGTCCGTACACATTTTGGATGAGGGAATCAGAGTGTTCGCCAAAAACGTTCATGTTAACTGTACCGCCTTTTACTGAATACTTGAAAATCAACAAAATCACGGCTGTTTGCATGTCAGTGACAACGGCAAGGTCACCACCGGAATAAGAAAAGACAACCGTGATCTACTCATAGCGTTTTACGCTGGAGATAGGGAATGTTATTGTTCACATTTGGGATAAATTTGGGCCACATAATCAGAAGTCAGGCACACTTCTACGGCGTTTTCGAATGATTTATATCGGAAATGTTCACTTTGAGTGATCTGGTCGTGCAGTCGTGAACAAACAACAGTGCCATTACATACGCTTCGAAGGGGACACTGATGGCACAACCGGATCATCATCCAAGTTGATGCGTGTGATTATCTTGCTTGGTTTAGAAAAGTGTGTGCAAATATCTCTCGTTTTCATGAGATTGAATAAGTTTTCTTGGCAATGTTACCGAGGTATCTGATTGGTTGATATTTAGTTGTTCGATTTCGTTAAATGATGTTTACATATAATTTAAATCACAAAGCACATTTTATTACACTATCAACAGAATATCTGCTTGGTCGAAATATAGATAATTTACCCTATTTAAGACTTGGTGTGGATGATCACAAGGTTCTGTAATATAACCTTATTCAGAAATCCAGGATAATATCACAGTCGCCATTTTGTAATTTACAGGTTTGAAACATCTAAATCAGTAAATATCTATTAATGAAGTCCTTTAGAAAACCGTGAATATCCTTTTAATTGGTTATTAGTTCACTGTAACCCTGCAATTGACTGATTTCAATTAAAACATTGTCTGGGTGACCACTTCAACATGTAGTTGGGCACATTGCAATTATGTTTTCATTTCGGGGGTGTTATTGACTTTTATTACTTCGTCATTTCAATTTGTCTGGACAACTTCTAAACTACTATATCGATTTCTTTCAGATATGTACGTAGGTGTATCTAAGGACGCTGTACGAGATGCCTTCGTTTCCATTGCCATTCTGTTACCATGGCAACAAAACATCTGGCATCTGATTGTTCAAAATTTAGAAATTGTCTGATTTCATTTAAATTTTGTATATTGACATGTTATGGGATTCCTAACTCGACCACATAGATTTTGTTTTTACCATGTCAATGGAAAACAGGCCTCTGACTGCTCCTTTAAATACTCTACCCTATTTCATATAATCTTAAATCAAATAGACGTTGTGATTATGTCTTCCAGTGCGATTGCAGAGGGACGTTTGGATACTCACGTTAACATTATCATACATCTGCGGGACGTTTTTCCCCATAGGACAGTTCTAGTTAGCTAAAATCTGCAATGACTTGTCACATTAAATGTAAAATTTTAATTAACAGGTTCTTCCACCTAATTGCTTCACCTTTATGTTAAGGGAATATTTCCGTTTTGAACATAATACAACACCACAAAAACGAGTAGGTTGCAATTTAAATACATCATTTCATTATCCGGTTGCCCATATTCCCAAACAGTAATAAGTGGGGTGTTTTAATTATTGTTTTTCGATTAATTTGCTTGAAATTAATCACGTGACTCGAAACATTGCACAAGTCATTAGTGCATTGTGGGGCCGAGCTAAGAAATATAAAGAAAGTCGAAGTTCGATGTTGTTACGTGTGGATCCACTAAACAGTTTCCATACATAACAAGGAGAGATCACACAACAATTTAAAAATAATTTAAGACTGGCAGTCTAATCGATTTCATATTGTTCACAAACAGCAATAGCAAGAATCAATCACAATAAACTTTATGCTGTAATATCCCATCATTTCCGAACAAGATCCAGTGAATGTTTCATCTAATCCATAATGTACCATAGTTCACCAATTGCCGACATGGCATACACAATTAAAGTTTCAAATCTTGCCGACATGGCATGACAGTTAACACCTGAATCTGACCTTGGAACTGACCACTTTGTCTGCCTGTCGAGCAATAGCCAAGCCACAATTGCATAACACCAGCCTTTACTTGGCTGTGAGTGAGTGAGTATGGTTGTACGCCGCTTTTAGCAATATTCCAGCAATATCACGGCGGGGAACACCAGAAATGGGCTTCACACATTGTACCCATGTCGGGAGTCGAACCCGGGTCTTTGGCGTGACGAGCGAACGCTTTAACCACTAGGCTACCCGACCGCCCCTTACTTGGCTGTGAGCTTATCAGGGCTTACATATAGACAATGTGAAGTGAAGTGTGTAATTGGTCAGTGTTGATCACTGGCAATCTGTACACAATCTGTACACAAGCAACATATATATGAGGTATGAATATACATTTCATGAATACAAAGTGCATTTAATATATTCTTCATGAAACAGTGTCTCTGGATACTGTGATTTGGAATGTTTTCTGTTGTCCAAATTACAACTTTGTTTCCAAGACTAATGTCAGAAACCTGCAGCAGCTGAAAGCAATGAAATAGTGTGCTCACCGAGATGGTTGCGCTACATGATACGGTAACCGACGTGAATTGACGTCCGAAGACGTGATATGACGTCGCTGTGGGACGAACATGGCGAAAGAAGAGCCTTTTTGTTTGACTGGAGTATGTTGCTAAATGCCGTACGTTGAGAAACAGTTTTCATGTGGTTATGAAACTTTCAAAGATAACTCATTCCTTTGGCGTAGACTGCAGTTGTTCAATACATTTCTCCAGAGACAGACATCATTTGGAGGTACCATCGCCCGCCACAGACAATTTTGTGACTGCTGTGGCACGGCCGCACTGATTTGAATGTTTGTGATAAGCCAGCGGTGCGGCATGAGAGAAGGTTGACATCATGTTGCCGTATTTTTTTCTAACGTGATAATATTCAGATATTTGACGAGTTTAAAAAAACTATTTCACAGAAAACTGATGTGAATGTGGAATGTTACTTGATGGTGATGAAAAACGATGTTACCAACGATTCGTTAGATTACGGGGGAGGTAATTTGAACAACACAATGACGTCAGTCCATAATGACGTAACTCAAAAAGTGAACATTGTAGCATGATACAGTTTAGTCGGAGCTTTTCATCTATTAGTAAATTATCTTAGAAAACTTGTTGATCAACCTCTTCTGTCTTGACTAACCCAACAGGGAAACATATTTGTTTCCTGTCAATATCGTATCAAAGATAAAGGCTCGAATGATGCAGGTCTTTGACGGTTACCACTTGGGTTAAGCTGGAAATGGCGCTGACAAACCGAGAAATGCAATCACGATGAACCTGGATTCGAACACATAAGGGACACAACTCTACACGACGAATTGGAGATCAGAGACGAGATATCTAGCTCATTTGTGTGTATACCTACCAATTACAGCCAGTAGTCCCAGGACACATAGAGTCTTCATGATGTTTACCTCTCTAAATCTGAGCGCATGCCCACTTCTCACAAACTTTTATACGTTAAAGCTTATCTAAGTATTTAAAAAAGAAAATATATTTCAGTGGAAAATCATGTCATGATAAACGTTTGCTGCACGCATATTTGACAAAACATGTTCTCGTGATCATGCAAATTAAGGAGCGGTTGAGAGGTATACAGAAATTATACTGTTGAAGTAAAGGGAGTATTCTGTGGACAGGACGATCAAGTGATCGATATTTCTAGAAACGTTCCACGCCTTTGGGATGTAACGACACACAATATACGACCACCATAGATTGCTGGGTACCTTCCTCAACCAGAACCACTATGGGGTCTCTGAGTTACTATGCTTTGAAATCTGAAATATTTCTCCTGTAGGTCTTATTTTTCTCAAACAGATCATATGTTTCCTATGATAAAAGGTATTTCAGGACAAAAGCCTTTTAAGTGAAAATATAGGTAATGGGTGGCTATCTTCTCATGGAAACTCATGAGGTTTACCCCTGTGTAAATATCAGGTTAATGAATTCTCCAATGAGTTGAAAACCCATGCATAACATGTGCTTACAATTCACATTTAGGTACATAGTACTTGGGTTTGACTTTAGTATTAAAACCGCTCTCCAGAGTTGTAAATGCTACCTCAGCATGAGGTGCTTGCCTTACCTTCACATGCCTTTTGTTATGCATCGGATTCCCAGTTTCTCCACATCTTGATGTACGTGTAACTATTCTACCCTTGTTGGGGCTGGTACATATTTCTTCCTACATTGTACATTTGCTGAAACTACGAGAAGATAAACGCTGTTTTCTTAGAGATAGTTTACCATTCGATCCAGACAAAGATGATTTTGGAGACATGTGAAGAAACTTTAGCTCGGAATTCACTCCATACATACTTATCATACTGTATACAACTATTCTGAGTGAAAGTGAGTTTATTTTAGTAAAGGCGCCACTGGCCAATTATACAGTACATTCACAAAATAAAGTTTAAAGTGTGGAGCGCTGTTCAGTTATACAGACACATCGCTTTTATACAATACTGTACATAAAAATGAAAACATATTTAGCTGAACAGTTTTAACAAATATACTGCGTGACCATAGCACCTGTTGAAATCTAACTTTCAGAAATACATTGGCAGAAAGTAACAAGTCGTGATTTAATGAATGTACAAGACAACAATGAAACTCAGCAACGATTACTGGTATTACGCAGAGTGGACACAGCCGCTTATTTCTTGGTATACCAAGCTATCTCATCTCTCCAATCATTAGAATATGAACTCCAAGACAACCGAGTCTGTCTAATTGCTTTTCTATTCACAGGTATAGTCGCTGCAGATATTGTCATACAGCTTCTTTTTATGTATATGTATATTTACAACGATTACAGATTTCCATATCTTATGAGCATAAAGAAATATAAAGTTAGATGTTAAATCATTAAAGTAAAACCATATCGTCTAGCACAGTTGACATACTGACGTCACAAAATAAAAGTTCTGTTAGATAATAAAGTGTCACAGCTTGGCCTCTCCGTCCTTTGTGACGTTGTCCGTCATTTGTAATTAAAGATTGCTGACTGACGCCACAAGCGACATGCCACTTGTCTTTGCTCCATTATAGATAGATAAGCAAATGAAATTGTATAATATTCATTGCTTTTATTGTCCAATCCGAATGTAGTACGTACTTCTGTGAATGCATTCATTATCATGTATAAAACTGTATGTTTGTTCTGGTGTGAGGGAGGGACAAAGAGGGAGTGTCAGTGGACACACGGGACCCCCATCACATTCTTGGTTGACGCCTGCCACTCTCCAAGCAATAAGGACTCGATTACACTGAGACTTTATACTTAAATCTTACATGGGATCCCCTATGGCCAGCTGATTGTTACTCACACAATACTTATGGATGACGATCCCCTAACACCAATAAGGTGGTGACTATAAGTAACAAGCATACGCCAGCGATACACCAATAAGTAACATTGACTTAGATAGTGACTGGGGCCCAACCAGAAGTAACACCAGAAGTAACATTCACCTTTAAGAAACAATCTGCGTCAATCACGCTGGTTGTATAGGTAATGGTGATTCTGCCGCAGCCCCCACTGGAGCCAGATTTATATACATATACCGCTACTACAGATGGAATTTTTTATGTCAAAATGATGATGTGATTCAACAATTGTCATGATATGTATTAAAAGAAATATCAATAATAATTAATAATTGATAAAATCTACTATAGGCCATGAGGATATTTGAAAGGTATAGGAGCAATAAAAAAATTAGCCACTGCGGCTAAGGTATCTAAAGATGTGGCCAAGGATTGGCTAATGAAACAAGTGATGTGGCAAATATACTTACCAGCACCGCGTTATGTACCGAGGAAGAAGTTTCATATTTTTTCAACGAATGAAGTTCATCAGGCTGACCTCTTGTTTCTTCCCCATGATAAGGTAAGACGCAAAACATTTAAATACGATTTAACCATAGTGGATGTGGCTAGTCGATACAAAGAGGCTGAGCCATTAACCTCGAAAGATTCAACAGAAGTGGCTAATGCACTGAGCCGCATATATAAACGTGGACCACTAAAATGGCCTAAGTTATTCTAAGTACATCCTGGTCGCAAGTTTATGGGATCAGTAACTAAAATGTTAACAAAGCACGATGTCGAAATCAGGCGTGGTGAAAAAGAGGCCCACCGTAGTCAAGCTGTTGTTGAAAGATTTAACCGGACATTAGCGGAACGTTTGTTTGGCTATCAGTATGGGATTGAAATGAAATCGGAACGATTAAGATCAACCGAATGGGTGGTGACATGATTATCAGCTGTTGTATCAGCGCTAAATAATGAAGTAATGAGATTAATCAGGAAGAAACCATCCGATGCGATTAAAATGAAATCTGAGACTTCCGAAACTTCAGCACAGTGGAGAGGCAAAGAACAAAAACTTCCGGATAGAGTAAGCGTAAGATATTTATATCAGCCCGCCGAACTTGAAGGAGGCCAACGTCGTGCAACATATCTGATTTGGTCTCTTAAGATATATAACATTAGTCGGTTGGTTATGAAAGAAGGAGAGCCTATTCTTTATTATCTTAAAGATGGACCGGGCAGGGCATTTGTACGAGAAGAGTTGCTCATAGTTCCCAACAATAAAGTATTACCGCCCTAAGTAGCCATAAGCGTAGGTAGTTACACCATTCTTATCAATCAATCTCTTTGTATCTAAGGGGGATAATGATGTCTTGTTCATTCTCAATCCATACATCCTGTGATTGACACTTCTCAAAATGCTTCTTTATACTGTTCGTGTTTGATATGCTTTTTTACCACATACTTCTTAACGCTTTTAATTTTTCTTATCTCCCCATTATCAGACTTCTTTATAGAATACATCTTAGGTCTTAATCCGAATACTCCGCTATAGGGGTCCCAGCACATTCATCCTTCATCTTACCAAACACCTTTTTATTTACTACGATGTGCAGTGGATTATCTTTTGTGCAATCGCTCGTGTCGCACATTTTTTCTGCCATATCTTTATACACATCCTCGGTTTGTATTTCCATCAACAAAGAATCTGTGGCGGTATATAACACCTCACATCTATCGCCGTATTGCTTCTTAAGTTCGTTGTAATAAAAGTCATACATTAAGTGTTTTGACAAGTCAAGCATACTCATACCAACGTACACCGGTCTGTTGAATTTTATATTACTTTTCTGCATATGTACAGCGGCTAAGTCGTTATCAAATATCTTGCTTCTGTTAAAAGCCAGACTGGCTATAAGTTTCCTGAGTCTTTCTTCCTCATTAGATCTGACCATTTTAACATCAACACGCTTCCTTAGATTCTCTAATAGTTTTACTAAATACTGAGTTATTCATGAGCTTATATAGGTTCTTTTCGAAAACGCTGGTATCCATCTTTCTTAAATCTGTGTTCAGCCTTATATAGGGCTCCATCCAAGGTCTTTGATCAAACTTTAGAACTCTTGTGTATTTTCTTTAGTTTCATGCCTAACGATAGATATAACTAATATGTGCGTGTCTTGATTACTCGGACCATATTCTTCCACAAATTTATTATTAGCCTTAGAATACCTTTTAACCGTCATCGATATACCACCTCTTAACCCTTCTCAATAAACAAGTGCATATCGTAATTGGTGAGTACTTTTAGTTTTCCCCCGGTCTTTTTCAACAATGCATCCCACGAAAGTCCGGGACTGGAATAGTAGCATGCCGGGTCCAAGCCTTATTGTTTTAAACATGTCTTTCTAAATATCTCGAATATACCGGCAGGTAACAGTACATCGGTATTTAAGTACAGATCGTGATAATCGCCTAAATTCTTACAAACTAATTTATCCCACACCGTCAGAGCGTGTTCATAATCGGCATTGAATTTTAGATTCTGTTAAGTTACTATAGAATGATTCAAGGGATGGTAATTTAGTTTCGTCGAATCTTGACCAATCATCCATATATTCGTAAGGATATACACCTTTTCTCAACAACAAATGGCGAGTTAACTGATCGATATATCTTTTATTTGTTATTGCAAAGTCATTGGGATTGTTTGCATCTCAATTGTCCAGGTAAGATAAGAGAAACTGTACGGAGTCTATGAATCTAAGTCCATTACTTTGCTTTATTCTAGCTTTCCCATCCTTGTCCGTATAATGTATAGTTTTAGTCAACGAGAATGATATGTATTTTTCCATATTATTAGGAATGCACGTTAAGCCGCCGTCGGTCTTTGAGATAGCTTGCATAATGAGATGAGAATCATATACCCTAAGGTTGTGAAACACAACGGGTATGGCTATTGTTTGAGAATTCATGTTTAGTTTCAAGTTACACTCGTTATGAGCGTCTCCCCAATAATTACCCGTGACGTGGCAATGATCTCCTACGGAATCCCCATTGAGTGGTTTATTACAAACATGACAAATCATCGACTTCTTATAGGCCCTCCAATCATCCCTCGTCAAACACATGGGTTTCTTACGTGATA